GTGCTTAGGGAAAACAAAAGCTCCAAAAGCATGAGGAGAATTTCAGAAGTTAAAACACTTGTGTAATATCAGAAAGAGAATAGAGAAAGGGAGGAACTGTGTAGAGGGAGTATAATGGCCAGAAATGTGTCAAAATTAAGGACAGGCCATAAATCACAGATCTAAGAAAGTTAGAGACTGAAAAAGAAAATTGTTCCTAGTCGTGGCACATACAAATAGGAGGACACCAAAGGCAGACTGGAAACCTTGAAAAACTAACCAGAGAAAGGAAACACATTAGTTACCCAAGTCACAGGAAATGACCTCAGCAGACATAGGAAGTGACCTCAGCAGACATAGGAAATGACCTCAGCAGACAAAGGAAATGACTTCAACAGATAAAGGAAATGACCTCAGTGGACAAAGGAAATGACCTCAGCAGACTTCTAATCAGAAATCAGATCAACAATGAGTGAGGGAAAGAAGTTCTTCTCTGTAGCAGTGGTGTTGTCTGTCTTCACTAATCTTGAACAAAAGCTGTTGTGTTATTTGAAGATGTACTGGGATGAAGTGTGTATTAAATACTCAGGGAAGTCTCTAGGTGGTATATGAGTGAAGTATCATTGCTATGATGAGAGGAAATGAGATGGAATCATGTAAAATGCTCAACTAAGTCAGAGAAGACCCAAAAGAGGTGTGAAAAGTCAACAAAAAATGTAACAGATAGGAGAGCTATAAACATGGTACACATTAATCCAACAGAATCAATAATCGTTTTAAATGTTAATGGTCTAAATATACCAATTAAAAGAAGAGTCTTTAAAAACCACACTGAGCTCCTACTGAATGTTTATAAGAAATCCATAATAAAGACTCAAAGGTTAAAAGTAAAGGGCTGGAGAAAGACACACCATGCTAACTAGGAGGAGTAGCTGTATTAATTCTACACAATCAGACTTTAGGAGCATGATGAAGGCTTAAAGAAAGGTTTTTATATTTGTCAAGTGGACTGTTTGTTTTTAACAAGGCCTAAGAGTCTTTAATAGGTCTATACTTGGGGTAAGATGGCTCAGTGAATAAGGGCACTTACTTCAAGTCTTAACTACCTGAGTCCAGTCCTAGGAACCTGCATGATGGAGAGAGAGAATCAATCCCTACAGGTTGTCTTCTGATTGTCACGTGTATTTTTAGAAAGTCTGTACCTAAAAACAGAGCATCAAAATATGAGAGTCAAACTTTCACACTACTCAAAATGTGTTTGCAGTGGGAGACTCAAAACTCTCTTTCAGGAAATGATAACTTGAGCATGCAGAAGAACAGTAAGATGTTGTTGACCTGAATAGCACTGTCTCTCTGTATGGCAGGCATGTGTCCATTCTTTCAGTTGGCTTGTAGCCTCAGAAAAGAAGGTGCATGATGACATTCCCCAGGTCTTCGTTTACATGATACTTATACATAGTGCTAGAGTATTTTCTACTTTTCTCATTGCTGTGACCAAATATCCAACAAATCAACTAAGAGAGGAAAGATTTTTCAACTCATGGTTTGAGGGTCAAAAGTCATGTTGGGCAAGGCATGATGGGACTCTGTTTTAGTTTTGGTGTTGGAAGCATTTGGCTGGTATTCCTCAGCTCTCACATCTTGGCAGAACAGGAAGCAGAGACAAGACTAAGGTATAAACCTTAAGCAGTAATGAAGATATAAACCTCAAGTTTTGTTCCTAGGAACCATCTTCCTCCAATGAAGCTCAGGACAGCTCTGCCTCTTCATGGTCCACAATCTTCCAAGACAGTGCCTCCATCTAGGGAACAGGCCTTCACCATGCTGCTCCTAGTTCTCCATAGACTCATGGCCATCTTCACATAAAATACATGGAGCCCAACTTTAGAAATCTCTATAATCTTACAGTTCCAACCCTGCTCAAAGACCCAAAGTGCTCTGAAACTCAAAGAAGCTCCTTAGCTCTGAGTCCCGTAATGTATAAGAGAAGTTATAGGCGCCCAGTGTACACCAAGTACAAGTTCCTGTTGGAAAAGAAAGGAATGGTGATGGTAAGGAAAGACAGGACTGAACCCTAGCACGGACAACATTAAATCCTGGTGGGTGCCGCACATGTGGTTTCTCTGTTGGGTCAGCTCTCCTTGACAGATAGTCCACGTTCCTAGCATCTCTGTTATTCTGGGTTCCACACTGCTGCGTAATTACTTCTGTAGCTTCATGAGTAGCTCACTCAGGAGCTGCATGCAGGGCATCTGACCATGGCACATGTTGAGTGGCTCCTGTGGTTTTCTTGAACCTAGGTGCTAGTCTCCAGGACCTATCTCAATTTGTGTCTTGGGACACAATTCCCAAGAGTCTTTGTGACCTTCAAAACCTCATGAACACAGTCTTTCCTGTCTAAGTGTCTCTTAGCATTCTGGTTTTCTGAGCTCCCTTCTGAATGGCCCATAATCTCTGCTGCATAGAGCATTATGGGGCTTCTGTGGGCCACTGCCCCAGATGCTAACACAGAGGCCTTCCTTACCTAAGATCTTGGCTTCTTTGGGTGTGTATAGTTCTTGAGGGATTTGGGTGCTGTTACATATATTATTCCTTCTGACGCCTCATGTAACTCTCTGAAGCAGTAGGAATTTTCAGACCCATTCTAGAAAGGAGAAAAATTGAAGTTGTATGGCTACCATGTGAACCAGAGCTGGACACCAGGCTGACTCCCAGCCCTTCATGTTATTCCTCCAGGGTCACCGCGGTTTTGGAGGGAAGCGTTCTTTTACGTTCCCCAGCATGTATAATAAAGGTGTGTCTAATTGAGTCTTCCAGTGTACAGAATAGCTCTGGAAGTATCTTTTCAAACCAACTATAAGGGAAGATTTAGGTTGTTTCTGCATGTTCTGTCCCACATATCTTCGATAGACTCGGAGAGCCTCAAATTAATTTTAAGCATTGTCACACAGATTCCTAGGACAGAGCTGTGAACTTGAACCTACGTGTACCTGAGAACCGTATATGTGTTTCTTAAAGTCTGATTCGGTTGGTCTGTGTTGAGGATCCAGAACGTGGGTGTCTTTCATCTAAAACTGTAATTCATACAAGCTGAGATAAATGAATATAGAATGACCCTGTGACATCTCAGTACTCATACTCCTTGGGATATTGAAATCTGTGTGAATCTATGTATTCAGTCATTTGTCAGTTTTTGTGGTGAATGAAAACATTTGGAGTTCACACTCTCAGTTTTTAAATCAGTGTGTGTGTGCATGTGTGTGATACAGCATACAGCATCACGATTGGTTTTTACCTCCCTAAGTAGGACCCAGAAATTTCTTCTCTAGCTGTATATGGTACTCCTCTAGCGAATGGATGAGTTGGATTTTGAGCACTTCTGGGCTAGGTACCACCTGAAGGAAGGTGTCTCTGTTTTGGCTAACTGTGTGGTCCCAGATAAATGGGGCAATTCTAACAGATAAGCTAAGGTAAACTGCTTTAGCTGAAATCACTCACACCCACCCACAGAGAATGGGGGAGAGAGAGAGAGAGAGAGAGAGAGAGAGAGAGAGAGAGAGAGAGAGACTGACTTTGTACCATGTGACTTCAAGGAAACTACTTAACTTCATGTCTCCGTGGCCTCTTAGATAGTTCTTATATCAGTACCTGGTAACAGTGTTAAGGCTCTCCTGTGCTCAGGACACCCATGAAACACCTAGGTGCTGATCCCTGCTGCTGTTATTATGTGTTTCCTGCTGTTCCTGTAAACTACACAAACAGGTTTAAGATTCAAGAGAAGGAGGTTGTTGAAAACATCTGCCAACTGTGAAAGGGTACCCTATGTTTTATGAAGTCCTCGTCTGTGTGGGAGGTCTGCTGCTTCATTAATGCTCCAGAAATCAGCTGGTGACAGTTCTGGGGCTGTCACACCTGTGCTGTGTGTGTGCTTTCCTCCGAGTGGGGGAGAATGAGCAGGGAGTGAGTAAGCACACCACAGTGCTGTGGGGAACCGTCAAGATACATGGTAGTGAGCACAGGGCATAAAATTGTCTTTATTTATCTCAGTTATGCATTAAACAAACCAACTTGATTTTAATTGGCTGTGAAATATAGAGGCAAGAGTACCAGAATCCATTGAGTGGCTAATTTATCTGGTGGTGAAAGACAAAATTTTTAACAGAATTTTTTCTTTTCATTTTATACACGTGTGTGATGCATTATTACTTTTCCCCCACCCTTCCTATTCCCTGCCCAGCTCCTAAACCCCTCCCACCTTCCTATATCCCACCCACCTTCCCATACTCCCGCCTATTTTCCTATACCCTGCCCACCTTCCTATACCACGCCCACTTTCCCACTCCTGCCCACTTTCCTATACCCCACCCACCGTTCTTATATCCTGCCTACCTCCTAAACCCCACCCACCCTTCTATTACCCCCTTCTAGCCCTACACACACACACACACATCACACACACACACACATCACACACACACACACACACACACAGAGTTAACCATCTGTTCTTCCCTTTCATACATTGGTGTCTTTGTATTTTGTTTTGTGACTCATGAATTTTGACCAGGATCATGCAACTTTGGTTTCGAACTGTCCCTTGGAACCTGGTGTGCTCAGCCATGGGTATTAAACCAAAGACAATGACTGCCTCTCCCCAGAACCGACCAGTAGCAAGAAGTTTAGCAGGGACGGTGGAGCCCCATCCATGACTGAGGAATGATGGCATAGTCTTGTACAGGCCCGGTAGTGACAGCGTCTGCTGCTGAGGGGTATGATTGCAGTGGCCGTGTGTGCCCAGAAGACAGCAATTTACAAGCCTTCTCCCTTTCTTCCGGCTCTTACTTATCAACAGAGTTATTTTAAAGGGAGCTTTTCATTTTAGTGTTTTCACGTAATTACCAAAAAATAAAGTGTTTCATGGGTAGGGTGGGGGGATTGCACACGACTCATTTCTTTCAGTGATTTAAGTGTAAAAAGTAAGTTCTTAATTAACCTGGGAGTTTTTCTTTCTTTTGTCTTAGGATCAGATTTTATTAAGACCTCGACTGGAAAAGAAACAGTAAACGCCACCTTCCCGGTAGCCATCGTAATGCTGCGGGCCATTAGAGATTTCTTCTGGAAAACTGGAAACAAGGTAGGTTATTGCCAGCAAACCTTCCTTCAAAGTGTAGAGGATGCTGCTATTTATAACCCTCCTCACAGCCCACAGGATAACCGTCTCCCCGTGCAGAAGGTGCGAATGAGTCGCCTTTATTAAGATAAATGTTTAATTTACCTTTCATTACAAAAGAACATGTCGGTGGGGGGAGGCGTGCGATTAATGGAGTGAGTGGTGAGTGTGAGTGTGGGTGCACTGTGTGATCAAGAGGTAAACTCACTCTGTGTCCTTTTGTTAACTGAAGACAGTTTCGGCACTGACAAGAGATTCCTAAATGGCTTCTTTAACGAACTAATTGTGCAGCGACACAGAGGTTTTTCTGGCAAGGCGTTGGCCGGCGAAAACAGGTTAATATAGAGATTTAACTTCCTCCCGGAATGGAAAGACCCGCAGAGTAACATTTATTGAATGATAAGCTGTGGCGGCGATAGGAAAAGTATGCAGGATAATGGGAAATCATCTTCTCCTGTCATTATTGAAGGACACACGTAAATTGGTTTTTCTGTTGGGAAACCCCCGGTCCAGAAAAACTTATTACTTTTAATAATATGAGGTGAAGAGAAAATTCTCGAGGAGATGAACTTATTAAACAGAATAATGAAATGCCGCGTAACAGCAGGGAAAAGCTAGCTTCTGTCCTATAGCTCTTGAATTAAATATCCATTTTTTTGTGTGTTTTATGGAAGGTGGACGTGCTGTTTGGAAGAGCGTCGAGCTGAGGAGGGTATATGCTACCTTTTGTCAGCTTTTCGAAGAATAACAGAATTTTTTTTGAAACATACAAAGTTAAAAGGAAAAAATGCATACGAGGTGTTTCTTAAAAACTGATTTCGGATTTTTCACTTGAAGTTGCTTGCCTAGTCACAAATTATCTAAGAATTTTTTTCATAGTTGAATAGGTATGTGCCTGTGTGTGTGTGTGTGTGTGTTTAATATAATGAGATTTCCCTTCATGAGGAGCATCTTTTAAAAACCAGTATCTTGACTTCTGCCACCTAGAACTTCCTTCAAGCCGACCTTTAATGCTTTACCTGGTGGACGGAATGTTTTTATGGCTTTATAAGTGACTATAGCTTACATTCATTTTGGAGTTAGAGACTTCCATGGAATGTGCTCTTTGTGAGAGAAAAATCTCTCCTAGAGTTTTCTCTAAAAGAACTCACAACATTAAGCACAGGTAGGAAAAATAGCTGTTGTTACCCATAGAGGACACTGATCCCACATGCGTGCTACTTGGTGGTCTTTCTGCATTGATACAGACCCGACAATTTATTGAGTGTTTTGTTATTGTTGGTTTGTTTTCAAAGAAAAGCTATATTCATCTTTCCCCTTCAGTTGTAACTGTCTCCACTAGGTAGGCCCACAGGATTCATTGCTAAGGTTGTTTAACAAACTAGTTCTGCTGGGTCACAGAAGGTTTCTGAGAAAGCATTTGCCTAAGGACATCAAAATCAGATGGTCAGCTTGTCATGCGCGTGGATTCCCAAGCTCCCAGCCTTAGAGGCCGTGGGTCTGGAACTGCTGAGCTAGCTGGTGCATGTGTAACTGAGGCTGGGAACCACATTCGTGACACTGCTCCATGGCAGTGGGTGGGTTCACAGCCAGGCTTCTGGTTGCTCTGTGGCAGTGGGCGGGTTCTCAGGGAGGCTTCCCGTTGCTCATTGGCCACTTTCTCTTTGAAGTGCCTCCCACTACTGTGTTCTAGCTGACAAAAGCCCCAGTGTGGTTTGGAAGCTTGTGGGTCTAGATTTGTTTACTCTTTTGCATGGTTACATTCCTAGGACAAGGGAATCCAGGGGACCATGAGATCACTGTACATGAGACCTGGTCTTCTTTTCTAGTGGATATCAGACATGATGTAGAAACAACATATATTGGCTGATTTGAGCTATATCTTCTTGTTTTTTAAAGGATTTATGTATGCATGCATGCCTGTGTGTCTGTATGCACCATGCATGTGTGCATGCATGCCTGTGTGTCTATATGCACCATGTATGTGTGGGTGCCTGAGGAAGTCAGAAAAGGGCACCAGAAGCCCTGGAGCTGGAGCCCATGAACATGAGTGCTGAGAACTGAACACACGTCCTCTGAACAAAACATGGGTTCAGGATCGCCCTCAGCCATGAATTGGGCTGGTTCATGACCATCCCCCAGACCTTCTCCCATGCTTCCACTAGTGGTCAGCCTGCTGTATAGAACTCCACGTGTACAGCCTCAGAGAAGAAGCCTGCAACTCAGTTGATTAAGGCAACGGTCAGTTCTTTTTGCTGATGGCTGCCAATTTGATTTGGTTGACCTTGTGGCCACACTGTTTCCATCTTAAGTACACTCGTACCCTGCACCTCGGGATGAAGGCTCATTGGAAGCAGGGTAGACTGGACGGACACCTGTGGTGTATTTTGTCTATTGACACTTCCCTTGGCTTCTTCAAATGTGCCGATTTAGTCTAGACAGTGGAGGTTTATGACGTGACGTGCACCCTCCCTCATTCTTGCCCCTTCAGAAGGAGTGGCCCAGTTCCCATTTGGCTAAAAAGTTATTTTGAAGTTTGGTCAGGTAAGGCTGTGCTGAAATAGGTCTCTCTGCTGAGGTGAAGAAGGCTAAGAAGGAAAGCGTGGCTCAAGACTGGTTATTCATGGGGACACTTCTGAAATCAGCCTGGTGACAGTGGCTGTTCCTCTCTCCTCCTTAGGTAGGCTTTAAGCCTGCAGGAGGCATCCGCACTGCAAAGGAGTCCCTTGCCTGGCTCTCTCTGGTAAAGGAGGAACTGGGTGACGAGTGGCTGACTCCTGACCTCTTCCGGATAGGCGCCAGCTCTCTGCTTTCAGACATCGAGAGAGAGGTGAGTGACAGCACACTGTCCTTGGAAGGAGTCAGGCTGGGGAAGTCAGAATCGGGCCTGCACCTCCTGCAAGCAAAGCTGCCCCTGTTACAGAGATCGGTGAAGGTTCTGCTGACAGGCGTGCTAACGCAGCGCCGAGTGAAGCGACTATTGTGTGATAGTATGATAAGTACTTAATGTGGCTGGTTGCCTAATTATTAATTAATGAAACGGGCTTTCCTCACAGATTTACCATCACGTGACTGGACGACACGCGGCCCATCATGATCTTCCAATGTCTTAGGTCAGCAGCCAGCCCAGAAAAGCATCTTGCAACAAATTGTTCCAAAAAAAAAAGTTTTTGCATAATGGCTAAGATTATGTAATTTCAGAACAGTCAACTGACTTCCCCCTCCCCCCTCATTAAAATCTCCCCTGAAATCAACTCAGAACAATAAAGGAAACAAACCGCTTGACTCTGAATGCGGATTCAGATCAAGGAAGGTTGAAATGGTCTTCGTTACCAGGAGGTCGCATTTATTAATTTTGTGGAGATCTCCTCTGGAAAACTCAGAATAAAATGTTTCTGATAGCCTGTACTGCAGAAAATTCTGAAGGGAAAATAAAGTGAAATTGCCTGAGATCTGAGATTCTAGGGCAGGCAGGGGTCTTGGAGGGAAGGGTGCTTGTTACCAAACCTGGCACCCTGTTCAGCTCTCAGTAACTACAGGGTAGACAGGGAGAGCGGACTCCAAAGGGTGTCCCTCTGACGTCCACACACGCATGTCCCCTACCTCTGATGCATAATAAATACATTTTTAAAATGTGATAAAAATGAAAATGGGTGCTATAGCAAAGGAAGTTGTGCCCCCCTGTGCTGCCTCCCAGTGTGGCGCCCTGCCCCAGGTATCCACCTGACTCTCTGTGCTGAAGGGAACACTTTCATTAATTGTTTTGCTAATGAGATTGTGTTGTTGTTGCTAGAAAATGTGACTATCACTGAATTTTTAAATACAAAAATCTCTGTGCTTATTTTTCTATTTTGTTTACTCTCGGCATCGGTGGCCTGGGGGTGGGTGGTCTGGGCTGGGGCTTAAAAATATTTTCAGCAGGTGGAGGTGGAGGTAGTGATGCACATCTTTAATTTTAGAACTCAGATGTAGAGGCAGGTGGATCACTATGAGTTTGAGGCCAGCCTGGTCTACACAGAGAAACTCTGTCTCGATAAAGGAAAAAACAAATTCTGAGAGCACCTCCTGCCAGGCTTGGGAGCACCTCCTGCCCGGCTTGGTGGTCTTTGTCATCTTTATCTCTTTAAGTTATTTCTTTTAATGAAGAAAAAGAAAAACTGGGCCTGGGGCAGCATCTGCCTGTGACTCCAGCCAGAGCCTGTGTAGTGAGTCACAGGCTCTTGTCTAGAAACTAGGCAGACGGCATTTGAGGAAGGACACAAAGGCTGGCCTCTGCTTTCCACACACACCTATGCATTTACCTGCACACGCGTGTGGGTGTGCGCACACACACAGGTAAGTCCCAGCCTGGAGAAGTAGCCACAGTATAGGGATGGCATGCTTGTGTACCCAGGACTAGAAAAATAAATAAAAGTAGGTAATCAGCAAACTAGATGGGAATCCAGCCGCTGTGTCTGCATTTACTTTTGCGGGTCACCTTCCTGCAGCTAGGGACCCCCAAGCAGAGCTGTGACGTGTGACTGGCTTCAAGTTCTGTTTGTCCCTTTTGCTCTGTGGCTCCTCCTTCCCTCCAGCTTCTGTCAGCTTGCTGACATCTCTACCGCCTGCAGAACCTGAGCCTTCCAAATGGTGTCTTTTATTGAGTCTCTTAGTGCCCC